CCCTGCCCCCCTTCCCCCCCCCCCCAGGGACCTTGATCTGCCCCCCCCCCCATCTCTTCCCTCCCCTCATCCCCTTCCACCACAACAGACTTATCAGCTGCACACAGCTGTCCACGCTGTATTGGAAATCGGATTGGCTTCAGCTAATGTGCCTCCTTAAAAATCAGATACTGGTATCCACCCCAAAAATCTGTATCAGTGCACCCCTAGAAGTTTGTGCATTAATAGTTGGCAAATGTTGACCTTCTTTAAATACATTTTAATTGCTTAATATGCTGGGATACCTATGCACCTACTTATCAAAACTTCCTTTTGAGTTTCTAAAAATTACATAATTTTCTAATATAATAGTATATTCCATTTGGTAATTTGATGTTATACCTTTTTCCAGCAGACAGAGGTAACTGACCCCTGAGCTAAGTGTTTGGATAGCCCAAGCACAGGTGGTGATGACGCACCAAAAAAATACGCACCTTGTTTTTGGAAGGCAGAACATGGAGAGAGAGACATTTCCAGAGTCATGGCTGACTGTATGACATGGGGTTAGTCTTCCTGGGATCATAGAGTGTCCAGAAAGTGTGGCTCCCAGTGGACAGTATGGTGAGGTAGCAGGAACTCCCCGGTGTGGCAGACTGTCTCCTGGGATGCCACACTTCCTGGACAGTGTGTTCCTGGGAGGACTCTTACAGTGGCAGTAGCAAGACTGTTACTTCTTTGCTTTAAATAGTACTTTGTATAAGTACCTGTAAATAAGGCGTATGATATGGAAACAGCACTTTTTCAGCAGCTCATTTTCTGCTACACGCGCAAGCATACAATACTTAGCCAGTAGCTACATCTGAAAGAGAGTCAACACAGGACTCTGCTTCTTCAGCTTTCTAAACCAAACACAAGTGGCAAGCAACTCTCTTGACAGCCACATGGCATGAACAGTATTTGGAGGCATGCATCTTTGAGCAAAGAAAATAGCTTACTTGCTTAATACACTCACCCCAATTTGGGGTGGGTAGGAGGGATGTTTTTGGCAGGCCTAGATGCATGTTGTATGTGAGAAAATATGGCGTAGATTGGAGACTTTAAGATGATCAGCATCCTGAAGCTGAAAACAGCTATGAGCACTAGGAAAGACTGCAAGGAAAGAGTTAAGAATCTGAATAACAATTTGATGGGGTGTAAGCAAACTTCACTAAATGTCCAAAAATCCCAATTCTGTAATTGCATAGGAAAGCTTGATTGGCTAAAAAAAATCTTAGTTAGAAAAGGTAATAAAAGGGGTAATACATGAAAATCTATAACAAGTGGAAAACGAGGGAGATTTGATAACAGTGACTATAAATCAGCAGTCATTAAATTCAGGTAAATGTTAAAAGAAGTGTGAAGATGTAAAATCTACATCTAGTAAGGTTAAACCCACCATGGTCAAATAGTTATGTTCAGAACATTTTAAAATTAACTAAAGAGCATTCTGAGCATTGATGTTGCTATTTAACAATATTGGAATACTGGTGGAGTCCCAGACATTAGTCTTTTTCCAGTTGTAAAACAAGCCAGTTAGATTAACCTTGATCCCAGATAAAATCATGTAAAGACAAAAGCAGGATACAGTTAGTAACCATTACTGAATAAAGGATGGCATGTAGTGCCAGTAAAGCAAGGTTACTGGAAAATAGGGTCTTTGGAGTCTTGATTAGCATTCCTGATGAGTTCTTCAGTTTGCTTGGCACAGGTAACTGGCTAGAAGGAAGGCTCAGTTAAAGCATCGGAATAAGCACTGCCTGACTTTCTGATTAAAAAAACGAGAGAGGTCCTGCAGTTCTTAGCCTAATACCATTCACTTTCTCAAACAATGATTGTTGTTAACAGAGTTTGCAGATGACTGGAAAGTTAATGCATTGGCAAATAAGTATGGTCACTTCCAGTGAGCTACCTGGTTTGCACTACAAACTGTGCTTCCTTGAATACCATGCATTTTAATACAGCTAAATACTAGATCATACATCTAGGAACCAAGAAGATAGGTTATGCTTAAGAGGGGGCACTGTATTCTGGAAAGAGGTCACTTGAAAAAGAATTTCAGGTTATGGTAGATAAGCAGCTGAACATGAACTTTGGCATGGTTGAGAAAGCGAGTGTAATCACTGGAGCCATAGAACTGGGTAGGTGTTACTGCTGCATACAGAATTAATGAGACCATTACTGGAATATTTCCAGTTCTGGACTCCACACTTCAAAAATATGACGACAGATTGGAAAGTATACAACAGAAAACCATATGAATGACTTAAGTCCTGGAAGTCTTGGCAGCAAAATATTGAGGAAATGCAGTCTATTTAGCTTAAAGAAAAGTTTAAGGTGATTTTGTTCATGATCTGTAAGTATTTACAGAGGGAAAGGAGAAAATGAGAACTCATAACTGTAGAGAATTATTTTTAAAGAAATCCCTTCTTTTATCACTTTTTAGAAAATAGAAAAGATTGTGTTAGCTGTTCTTTTTGAGGGTAACAGAAAAAGCAAATTCAAATGTTCCAGAGATGCTGTTGGAGACTGATCCCTTTTTTGAAAGAAAAAACTAAATGAGCGCGCATAGAAGGGTAGAGAAAAGAACAGCACATACAGAAAATGCACCTTCTGATTCTATGAATTCCATTAATTGCCTATAGCTCATTGATCTGTCTAAACTTTTGAAGCCCTTAGATTTTGCATGACTTCAAGGGTATTTACTAACACCTCCATCACATACCTATACATCTGTGAGTCTGTAAATGGCAGATGTTTTTCCTTTTTCAGTTTCATAGTGGCTTACTCTGTGTCAGGTTATGGAGTGTGAAAGTGGTATGACCTGAGAGAGGAAATATTATTAAAAGTGGCTAATAGGGTGTATTTAAGCAATATTATTTGGATATACACTTAATTGAGTGAGAATTATTGAAATGTTCTGTTTTGCCACTTATGTCTATATACTGTCAGCTGAGTAGGACCTCGTTCACAAGCGTAGTACTCACTGAGTTTTAAATTTGTGTGACAGATGACAGAAAATGGAAATGTGGTTTGACATTACTTTTCTTTAAACAAAAATGGTGTGATTCAGTCCTGTTTTGGAAGCCAAAATAGCTTCTGAAAACACTGAACTTCTAGGAAGTCATGTAGACGATGAGTAAAGGTTTGGCAGGGTGAAAGGAAAATGGACATTTGCAAACATCACACTATAGCTGCCCTGTTCCCTGATGATTATAAGTGACTAATTTTATCAAGACTTGGCCCATTAATGCAGGCACAGCTTGGCAATATAATTGCTCTCAGCTGTGTTTAACTTGAAAAGTATATGAAATTAATACGTTAGATTCTTGGTCCCATCAGGGCTGTAACAGATAACTTTGCTAAGGGTGAGAATTGATTACACACTGTTATAATATCACTCTGGCTTGTA